GCCCCCCAACCGCCCTCTTCTTCCCTACCGCCCCCCAAAAACTTTTCATCGCCCCTAGGGGGGCGATATCGCCCACTTTGGGAACCACTGGTTTATACCATGAATACCGTTTTCAGTTGATGTGTACAATAATGGCATTAATATACTTTCCTTCTTCGCATGTTTTCCATCCTTGGTTTCGGTCCTGAACATTGCAGTTCCGTACTACGAATCGCACGAACTCAAGTGTTCACAATCATAGCTTCGACATTATTAATTAGAAGTTTCACGGATGTCCTTACGGGCGGTTCATTTTAGTACCTGAATTGTGATTGATTGTCGAATTTACGATTTTCTATAAAATTTGACGGTTTGCTGGTCGAGTGTGTGGATGGAGTGAAGCGTTGCATAATAACTATTTATGAAATACAATGAATACTAGTGCTATGGCAGAGTACCCGCTTCATGTGCTGGTGAGGCTCGCTGTTTCACACAGAATACTATTAGTTTCTTCCAAACTATTAGCTGTGCTACTGTCAAAAATGTCTTACAACGTGTGTTCATTGCCGTATCACGTGCGCCTGTCCTTAAGTTGTGCGAGGTATTTAAATTCCCTTTCCGATGCCCAGCATCTTGCAAAGTTATTAGGGCAATGAATTGCGTTGATCAATATGAGTAGTTTTTGTAATGCAGCGGCGATATTGGCAGTTGATTTGTGAAGTGAATTATGATGTGCAGTATTAAAAAAATGCTTCTAGAATTTTAACATTGAAAGTTTGCCTATTTCTAGCTTGAATGTTGTATAAAGTAATGACTTTCAGAAGAATAGAAACGAATGCATCGATTTTGCATCTCTTCTGCTATGCTGAACTAAAATTTCTGATTAGTAAAGCTTGAATATTTATTTACAGACGTCAACTGATCATTAACTTGAAACGGGCTTTAACTGCTTTCTAGAACATCTATCTTGTTACCTGCTTGTGACGCAAAATCATTGTTGAGATATAATTTATACAACGGTTGTATTAGATCCACAAATCAAGCGGAGTCTGGATTAATGGTTACAAGGGGAGCACTATAGTTACAATGCGCTAGCCAATATCCGTAGCATTGTGTCGCTGTACATCGCGCCGTGATCGAGTAAAGATGATGGGCAGGATTGGAAGACGAGTCAACCTGAGACTGTAAATTGAGGGGTGAGAAGAAACACTCATATAACTGCGCACAGTGGGACGACTGCTCCTGAATAGCATGGGAACCATACAAGTTAGTTAATTATATATAGTCCTGTGATTTGGGTAATTCCATAGGGAATGAATATTTGAATGTATGATTTACTCGGAAGACTGTGCATGAATTCCGCCGTGCACAAAGGAAAAGTAATTATAAAGGCAAAGTGCACGGAATATCGAAATGATATAAATCCAAAATTGAGTATATGGTAATTAAAATTCATACCTTAAACGAATTTAGTATTCTCTTCGTCTTGTTCACACTATAAGTTTGATTTATGAAATAATTTCCAATGCGTATTTGATTGACGAATGTAATGTAATGCGTATTTGATTGAATTTGATTGATGAATGGGTAACCTTGTTAAATTATCTTGCAGAATTATATTGGCCTGTACGGCTGCATGCAAGCGTCCAATATTCACTTCCTTCAGACGCCAAGTATTCGCCCATGTGCCTGCAAGCAGGCGTCCAATATTGGCCTGCAGGAGCAGAACGGCCTCTCCATTCTTCATGCGCTGGTCACGGCCTAGAATAGCGCTCGCCGGCTGAGCTGATGTTTGACTCTCCTTTAATAGACTCGAATAAATAAAATTAAAGTCCTACAATTTAACGGAGCTGGAAATATTTTGTAATATCTCGTTTTATAAAAATTAATGATTGCATCTATTTCTCGGCATCCCTGAAATTACTAATTTATATCCGTCGTTCGATAGTTTCGTTATCGGCTAAAGATATCTCATTGAGAGAGTACTCAAAATTGTCTCCTACAGCTAGGTACATTTAACGCATATATATTTAACACATATGCCACTGAAATTGCCACATAGCTTAGAACCTAACACTTCTGAGAAGAAGAGTCAGAGCAATAACAGTTCACACGTATACAGTCGCACATCATTGCATCATGCCGTCATCGTTGATATATTTATATTTTAATCTTTTTGATGCACCTCGCTCTTCATCAACGTCTCCCAAATTCCGTCGGTATTCTCTGAAGAAGTCCATGTAGGAATGCCTGTATCACGTCTTCAGTTAGATTCCGAATTAACAAAGTTTCAAGTGCTATACATCGAATAGGTTGAAAATTTTAAGGGCTAAGAATTTAAATTTAATCTGCATCCGCATAAAATGCTTTTAAAATTAGAAAATCATATCAAGCAGGTTTTTGATGATTTCATTGGCTAACGCGAGGGAGAGGCTGCTTTAAATAAAGCTATTTAATTATTTAATTCAGATACGAATTTAGCTGCCAGAATTATGGCTATTGGAGTAGAACTCCCGTCAGTGTGTGACGAAATCTTTCGTTACCCCTATTCTACAACTACAAACTTAAACACTGAGAGGGCTTCTATTATTTTAATTATCGATCAAAATACACAGGTGCATTAAAAAATATTATTCGTATAAGAGAAATCAAATAACTTTTTATTTCGTAGCTTCAATGCCCTTTAACTTTTTTTATAGGAGTGAAATGTTGTTCGTTGCTCAACTGGACCGCTTAACAATGGTACATATAGATGGTAATCATGTTTGCGTACGAATAGATTAACGAAAAGGAGGTAATCCTTCGTCTAGCTGACGGTAACTCTCGTTACTAGGCTTTCGATACCACGACCATTAACGACGGTAGACAAAGTTGGAATCATCCTTTGAAAGACAAAGTTCAGTTGAAATCGTGGACAAAGAGGTAAGCTGTATGCTTCTGGAACTGGATACGAATGTCTAATAAATAGAGACAAGCCTCATTTTGTACATAAAATTCAATTAGTTCACATCCCATGAACAAGTAATGTAAAGTATTAGTATTGTAATGAACGGTTAAGTAGTTTTGTTTCCTTGAGTAATATATCCCCTGAATTCATCGTCCGTTCCAACAGCCTAACAATGCATGTAGCAAAACGAGAGGCGGCTGCGGTTTATGAGTCGCTTCAACAATTTGAATAGCGAAACGTTCTTGGCGGAACACTAGGTGTGTTAATAGTAACTTTTTTGCGCCAACAACTCTGGTTTGCAACAAAACTAAATTTATCCAGTTTATCTCTACTTTCGTGGTGCAGAAGACAAAATTAGAAAAAAAAGAATACGATTCAAACTTTGCAGGTGAAACTTCTACGGATTTATTTCAAATGATCCAATGTCAGATACCAAACAACATTAAAATATTCAATCAACAGAGACCTAAAGTTTTTAACCAGTGCTTACAGATTTATTATTAAAATAAAATTTTCATCAATTTATTGTTGCAGGTAATGTTCATATGGAAAGGGACAGAGGTGTCGAATAAATTCCACTAATGTAATGTCGTGTAGTTAAGAGAAAATTAATTAAACATAATTAAGTTGTCTTTGGTGCATAAATATAGATTAATTTAGAGATCTATTCATGTATTTCAGTTTATGACGTACGGAACAGGTTATCACATCGAATTGTTAGTCCTTCAATAGGCTGTAACTGTGTTACGTTAAGATGAGTCAGTTTACTAGGGTAGTAGACCATGCAATATAGAGGTTGCAATTTGCGAGTAGGAAATTCTTGTACACGACTTCTTGCAAATTTTACGTCTTTTCTTTTTGTACCTTCATTGCATCCCTCAACGGAAATCTTCAAAGGCGTACATCAATCATCGAATTGCTGATAATATAACTATTTTCTTTGTTATGTAGTGGGATATATTTTCACAAATTGCCATGCTTATTCTCGTGATTATGCATGGCTGCCATGGCATTGCTCTGCAAATTGTTTGTCCGGGTGTTGATTTTCGTCATTAGCAATTGTTTGAAAATGCATTGCTGTTAGCTATGTTTAAAGATAGGCTTTATGAAGCGGCTTAGGCAATTTTGAAAATCCAGGCAAGTCTTTAAGATGACTTGTGTGCGAGCAAACGTTCCCGTTTCGAAGCCGCAATATTGTCATCGCACAGCTGCCACGTTCGTAAGCAGCTGCCGACTATCGTCATTGACACATGTGTATGATGTTATGTCCATCCGTTGTTTCTTTTCCAACTCGACGTGCATCTCACGTAAATTATTCCGCTCGCTATACACCAATTTATGCCTGTACTGGCCACCGAACCGTCGAAAGGCCTATCGAATGCTCTAGTAAGATTGTAACGTAGGTAGGAAATTAAGTAAAAATTATCTCGATGTAAATATTTGTGTTGTAAACAATTGTGGATACTAACACTTAGTTGGTAGAAAAAAAATCGAACATGATTTGTTCGAAAAAGTAAAGACTTTCATCGATCAAAAATTTAAGCAATTTAGGATCAATAAATATTGAGCTTTACATATACGACGATTCGAGTGGCTGTATGAAGTTTCCTGATTATTCCGTTTATTCGTATATCATTTGTTTACCATCTTCAAGGCTTAAATTGGTTTTTAGTAAGGGTTACGACATGGCCAGCAGTTTCTGCCGCTATCTGGATTTCGTCAGAAACCTTGTGATAGTATAGGGACGATTATCTAAACTCTTCAATCGATTTCCGGGACCAATCGATTGATTAACATTTAGTTTATTTCTCGAATAATTGCCACTTGGGTGCCCTGGAAAACTCAGAGGGGGCCGAGTAACAGTATTTCAGAAATACTTCATTGTTGTCTTGGATCACTGCGCAATGAATAGCCATTCACAATTTTTTTATGAAACAATCTGTCGCGAATTTGTTTACATATGAATTATTTATTTGATGTACAACTTCAATGCCTAGCAGGAACTGTCTATGATTTTACCGTTTCTGAGAATCTGCGTGAAGACTTTCATTTACCAGCGAAAACTATATTTCAGAGAGAAGCAAGAGTTCTCTGGTCTTCCACGCACTCAATCTGCAGCTCACAGTAGAGCTTGCGCGACAGTTTCTTGGAAACCGTGAAAACACTTAGCCGGTGTAGCCGTGATAAAATCGTCGACTTGCGTCACATACTTCAGGTAAGTGCCACTCAGATAACGCAGCTTTTTGTTACTGCTTTGCTTCTTTTTTCTTGCTTGTGTTCAATGCTTTCGGTATAAAGTTATCAATAAGTATATAGATAAATTAGCGGACTTAAATTTGAAGGCTGCAATATAATAGAGACGGGTTGACATATTTGGCAGGATAAGGTTTGGTATGAACGTTTGTATTGTTCAATGGCAGGATTCCACGAGATGAAAATAAACTTGAGCAGACCTAGTAATAAACTATCGATTTTTCTTCGAAATACATACTCCTGCCGTCTTCGAGTTCGATGATACGTCGGTTATCTGTGTTTCGCGATAGCGGGACCACTTCTTTGAAGTTATCGTGGTAGCGCTACGAGTGAGCTCTGTCAAAGTGGTCGATATATGAAATGTATAGTAGTAGTAGTAACTTGCATTTAAATGCAGTCTTGAAGGGGTTTATCATCCGCCGTTTGTAATATAATTGTTGAAAACTGAACTAAGTAGCGTAGAACTAAGTATAAGATTTTTGAAATTTAACTTTCAAGGAGGGATGTTTCAAATAGTTTGCTGCTAATTTGTAGAAAAATTAATTGCCCAAAAATAGTTTGAGAATGAAAACGTATCAACATGGTCAAGTTTATTAAAAAATAAATATAGTAGTGATGACCTGAAATGAAAATAAATGAATATTTTATAAAAAATTATTCTGTGAACGAGGGTCTAGCCAACGAAATGTTTTAGTAATGACAAGACAAAGCAGGAAACATAACACGCTTAGCTACGATAATGCATTCTCTGCTCTAATGCTAGATACTCGCCACACAAATGCCTTCCTCGAATAATTGCCTGTGAACACATAACTTATTGTGCCCTAATGCTAAAATAAACTAATTTATTAGATTAGATTATCTCATTGGATCCTGGTATAATTCCTATCACTTTTGTTCAGTTTCCTATAGGAAACGCGCGCTGTCAAACAGCCGTAGTCCACAAATACACATTACAAATTCATGCTTTATGAATCCCATTTTATCTATTTCCGAATGGCTTAATATCGTCAACTTGTTAAATGCATTCACATCATTTGTTCACGCCTGACATAAATATCGCTGCCCCACACTCCGTAAAAAGGAGAAGGTCAATAGGTACTTAGAACACACTATCTCCCGGAGTAATTTTCACAGCACCACCAAGAAAATGCCGAAATGCTTCTCATGAAGAGCAAACAAAATCAGCAGCAAGTAAAGGGTGCTCGCATTTTGGCTATGAAGTGGACATGGAAAAAAAACTAACATAAGAAATGACTAGGGAATGTAAATAAGTACAGTACGTCAATTGCTTGCTTAGTAATTCTAACACAGACACACGACAGTAGCGTTCATAAATCATAATATACTATGTGAGCGAAATGAAACATCGAAGGAGGTTCGTCCTCTATCAGGTAATATTTTTCATCCAAATAAAACTAAACAACGCAGTAACCAAATAGATAAGAGCAAACTTATAATCAATTACTAAGCGTGCGATATGGAATTTTTGAGATCCTTTAAGGATGTGATCACTTTCGCGCAGATTAAAAAAATGCGAAAAAAATAATTCATTCGAGATGCCTCGACAAGTAAAAAAATGAGTAGGACCAGCAAATAGTGCTTCACACAGATGTAATATCTTCGGTATTGTGGGAAAGTTAAGAATGTCGTTATTGGTCATGTTATGCACTTATTTACGAGTACTACATCTTTCACCACATATTCGTTTCACCAAGCGGCTTAGCGTTTGGTGAATTTTAATGTGGGATCCTCGGCGCTGAATACATGCATAAAATCTATCATTTTATTACACTATTTGCAAATTACAATACAACAACAAAATATGTAAGCTCTAAAACACAAATTGAAATAATTTAATCTTGATGAAGATTTGCTGAGCAGCACAATTAATATTTTTCCTTGTAATCGATATTTTTTCTCCTCAAATTTATTAGATTCGCAAGAGTGTCAGTTAAAGATTCCGTTCACGGCAAGCTCCTCTGAAGAAGGATCGCAGTGAAATTACAATTATAAAGCCTCCTAATAGCGAAGCGACTTCTCTCCATGGGTAACTCATAAATTTTTCTTTCTTCACATGAAAAGAGAAAATCAACAACTTGCTTCACTCGTTGAGATTTCCATCATACGGAGTGCCTTCCTTAATAATACAACAACGTTCTTGTCTATATCTTACATATCTCATAATTTACGAAGAGTGGAAAGCCCTCTGACGTCATAGCACCATGATACTTGAAAATAAGATATAGTGATAAATAATCTCTACATACACTATCACATAGTTACAAGAAGAAAAACCTTCAGAAACATTTCAAGTCATGCGTCCAATAAACTGGAGGTGAAGCTTAACAGTGAAATAATAGTCGCATCGCACCTTGAAAATCGCGAGGTAGCAGCTGGGCAATCACCAGAAATTAAGCTGTGTACGGCTACTTGCAATACAAAGAAGATAATAGACGTGATATAATGCAGGTCGTTTCATCCTCGAACAACATTCCATTGAGGGAAGGTGAGCATGAACTTCGCATGAACTACAAATGAATGGAGTAGAGCGAAACGTGCGAGTAGGTGGAAGAGCCCACGAATGAAGTAGAGTTTGGTCCAAATAAGGTCATGTTGCATCAGGCACGTAACCTCGCTCAAGATAACTGGTTTCAGAAAGACTTACTCTCGTAGACTGATAAATGCTCTTAATGATGCCAATTCATCAGCGAGCATAACCAACCTAATCTTTAGACTTAAAATCTCACGACAAAATCTCGCGCCCAAAATCTGTTTTATATTGATAGAAAATTGACTCTGGACATGAAAAACTTTAAACTAAATCGAGGTTTAGAAGCGTGCTTTCGACAATTCCGGAAGTGTAATTAGAGTTAATGACGAGTAAAGAAAGACTTGCGAAAACTTCGCACAAGAAGCGTATCCTGAATAATTTGGGCAACGAAAATAATCGAGAAATGACACTCTCTACGTAAGTATAAATTGCGCCCTGATTGGAGGCGGATTGGAAAAAAATTGAAGGTTTCCGAGCAAAATACGAATCACAAATTGAGAAGTATGGGCAGGTCGTTGCCATAATAGTCGCTAATGATGAAGATAGTAGTTGTCGGAACACAAGTGACGAGTAACTAAAAAAATGACTAAATGAAACAAGATAGCCATCCAGAAATGACACCCGCGAGAGGATAACTCGAGTGACGTGACAGACGAGAGGAAATAAAGAAGAAATAAAAGAACGCCGCTACCAAGGACAACTCGAATGTATCTCAAGATCAACCGAAGGGGCAAAAATATGAGCCGTTTAAACGAGGCAGTAGAAGAGAAAAGCAACGGCCGTAGTCGCGATGACGCAACGAAGACGCGCACACAGCGCACAGCGGCCGCCGTCGCAGGTTGTCGGTCACCGCTCGCCTTCCTCTTCCTGCTGCACGATCCTGTGGCGTACGTCGCCCGCTCGTATGGAGCTCTTGCAGTCATCCCCGCGTCGTGAGGAGCTAAAGGCATCTTCTCCTCCCCACACATTGCAGGCCAAGTGGCCGCAACTTCCCATCTTGGGCGTATCGTGACTGGTAAATAAACTCTCTTTCTGCCATGAGATGCTGTCGTCTACGCTGCCATAGCCTGAGTTGCGTTTCAGTTTCCTGTTTTTCTTTCTATCACTTGCACTGAAACTTGTAGTTTTTGTGTGCTGTGCTGATGAGTGCGATTTCTTTTTACAAAATATATTTCCATCACTACCAGTTCGTTTGTGTGCTAGATTTTTCTTCGAGTTCTGGGTTTCGATTTGAGCTTTATCTCTACTTAATTTTCTCTCTTTTGATGCGGCTGGCTGATGAGCGTTCATATTAACGGACGCTGCTGGTAAATCATGATCTGTGAACCCGTTGACTTGGCTATTATGGCGATGCCGACCATCTCCATTAGTGATGGACATTGCCTTGCGTTGTCCATTCATAGCTGCCGCGTTGCTTGGATTGACGAGACATTCCCCAGCGTTTAATTTCTGAGGTGGATGCAAAACATCATTTTTAACTGGATGCATTTCTGATAAAGCAGTCGAAAAGGCCTCAAGATCAGCATCACGAATCGTTTCAGTCACAGAGCTAAGAGTGGCGAGTGAAGAGTCCGTAGATGAAAGCCTCCTGGAGACAGCCGCGTGAAGCGGTGACTCTGAAGAATCGCTCAACAGTTCAGCATCGAAGCTGGCGTTAAGCATTGCTGACGAATCGGAGCATTCACTGATTCTCATCAAATGATTATCAATGCCTATGCCTGGATGGCATGAATTAGCTGGACGAGGTAAAACTGTTGCATTACAACTGTCGTTATAGCTTTTCTTGGAATCTCCGCGGTGATTTGTCTTCAAATGTTGAACGCTGCAGTCATCCGTGCCTACACTAGGCGCCTCAGACGGTCTATTGCAGCCTGTTTTCTTGTCTAGGTGAGTTTCGCAAGAGAAAAGTACGCCGGCACTAGATTTGTTTAGGCTTTTTCTTCTGTTAGCTTCTCGCCTGGTTTCCTTTGCAAGTTTAATCCGTTTCTCATTGCTCATTTTAGCAAGTAATAAGCGAGTGAGAGTTTCTTTGCTGACTTTCTTACCCTGCTTGAGTGCCACTTCTAGAGCTTCAGCTAAAATTGCACTATCTTCAACTGCAATGTATAAATTTGTAAAAGAGTTTTCGCCCGGAAGGTTTAGTGCCTTACTCGAGCCGCATTTGTTGCTCTCACAAATCCAGTCAAAACATGAAGTCTTCAAAGGCGATGAACTTTGCCCTTCAACTTTTGACGTCCACGACTCCTGAGAGTTCATTAACATTTTATCGTCTGAAACTTGTTTTTCTGTTGAATAACTAACTTCCGTAGTTCCTTTCACAATTGAACCTACATCATTCGATAGTGACGCTTCGATTTTATGACATGAAGGATCGTGTGTAGATTTTGCTTTATTCTTCTTTTTTCGTTTAGCTGAAGGAGCACAGGATTCATCCCGCAGCAAGTCTCGAAAGGGACCTGCGCAGAGAACATGGAAGTGAAAATTTTTGCAAACATATATTTCAAGTGAAATTCGACAGGAAACTTTTCGTTGTACTTTCTGAGAAATTCGATCATAACAACGAACTGTTGATATCTATTATTATAATTAAAACGCCTTAGAAGGCGTCCAATAAATAAAATTCATACATAAACTGAAATAAAATCTAATCAAGTGCCTAGTGCTACTAAACTCAAATTGTTTATCGGCAACAATTACTAGGACTTCAGATCAAAAACCCCTAATGTATTCATTATAGAACTAATCATATGCTACTAAATGCAGAACTTAACAGATAACGAGGGTGGAAATTACGACGTTACAGAACAAAGAAACACTAGATGAAGATAAAATTTGAAGCCGAGTTAGAATAAGTCCATTACAAAACAGGTGCTTTAGAAATCAACTCACCAGCCACGTTGAGATTATGCATGCTAGCGCGTCGGTCTCTCTTCCTCCTACGTTTACTTCTATCGTCGACTGAACCACTCCTTTGAATGGTGTTCGTCAAAGCCTTCTTAGCTAACGCCATAGATTTCTTCTCAAAGGAGCCTATAGACAAGACACGAGCAGCTTCCACCTCGTCCTTCTTAGCCCATTGCAGCGCCAAGAAATGATCGTGCTTCTGATTCAAACTTGGTGTCTGCTGCTGGCATGAGCGAGGCGAGTCTGGCCTGAAATGCAGCGCCTCATGAGAGCTGAAAGGCAGTTCACTGGGAGATCTGACGAGCAAATGGTCACTCATTTGTCGCCGCTGACGTCGCATGCAGATGATGAATGTGATGAGTAGTAATGTTACCTCAACGAACATCAGGAAAAGATGTTGTTGGACGACGCTTGAAGAGAAAGTTTCCTGCTCGATGGCAAGCTGAGACACCATCTGTCAACGACAGCATCATTAAAATAATAATCGGATAACCGCGTGAGATGATGGAAAGTGAAAATCAAACGTCAACGAAAATATAAGCAATCGCAAAGAAAACAAATGAAAGTTGAAAACCGGAGGACTCGTATTAAAACATTTTGAATCTCAAAAATGTCTCAGTAATTAAATAGCCTTGAATATGATGAGCTCTTAACCTGAGCGAGCTGCTGCATCTGCAGTTGCAGCTCGGACATCTGCTGCTGCACCAGCTCGTGTTGGCTGTCGTGCTGAGGCAGCGGTGGCCGAGTTGCGTTCAGAGCAGCCACGGCAGCGCTGAACTGCATCTGCATCTCCTCCATCTGTTGCTTGTAGCGCTGACTCAGTTCCTCCAGGTACTGCGAGTTGATGGATAGGTTGTGCTCCAGCACCTGGGATATAACAACAATTTCGTGCTTGAATGGCAAATATTTGTGCCAACAGTCGGCGAGACCAGCATTAAGCTAAGCATCATGAGTTCTTAATGTAAGTGAGGCATGAGAATAATCACCTCATATATTCAGTTTACGACTTCGGATAGATAGGAATTAGGTACAAACTATGGTGGTAAAAACATTGGTTTTATTCGCTTTGGTACAGCAATAGAGTTTCAGGCTAGTCAAGAACAAATTACTTTTTGATGAACAATAACAATTAACCAAAAAATCGCGCCTCGAAAGAAACGAACCTTAATTTTATTCGACAGTCGAACCACGACGGATTCTTTGTTGACGGGAGCAGCGGCCACGTTACCTCCGTTTCCGTCTTTTATAACAGTAGGAGGATCTTGCTCCACTGTTGGTAATGGAGATCCGTTACCGTTTTTCGACCCATTGTCACCGTTGCGATGCCCATTGCCATTGTGCTTAGAATCCACAGATGAATCACGTTTTGATTCGCTTTTTGTTTGCTTTTTATCAGAGCTGGAACCTTCCACTTTCTTTTCTTTCTTCCCAGATGACTTTTTATTCTTATCATCAGAAATGAAACCAATTTCTGCTTCCTCGACAGCTTCTCCATCAAATGTCACATTACTATCACTGCTCACGTTAGCCTCATTGAGAGTTTCTGTATAAACAGATTCTTCTTTAACATCACTACTTTGGTTCGTATTCGTCTTGGAGCAATGTTGGTGACTTTTATTCTTGCTGTCCTTGAGATCTTTAGCCCTCGAATTATTTTTACCGTTTGTCTTATCAATAACGGAATCTTTGATTTCAAAATTGGACGAAATCAAGCCCGGAATATCTGTAGTTTTACCGTTCACAGATCTATTGTTGGGTACATTAGCGCTTTCACATGGGACGGAAGAATTTGTTGTAGCCGCAGAAGTGGCAAGATTGAAGTGTTTTATATGGCACATCGCCAAGAGATGATGGGAGCAAAGCATCACACAGACATAGTGATTGCCACATGCTTCCTTGCTGCATGCATAGTTTAAATCAACTTGATTTCCGCTCAACAGATGTTTGCCTTCCCTGATCTCGTCTTCCTTCATTTCCTCGTTGCCTTTCTCAGTACACAAATTATCCACCAGCGACTTGCAGAACTCGCGGCTCTGAACAGTGCTGCTTATGAGAGACATTTTAAGGAGGTACCTATACTCAGTATCGTAGCAGCCGAGGTGCCAGTTGATGGTAGGCGCCAGGCTGCACTTTTTCTCATCTATTTTGTAGCGTGGGTCCAGGGAGGTGCACTCGTCTACAGTTGGGGTCTGGTTGCTCTTACTCGCGATGCTGAAGAAAGGAGCTTTGTTGAGCGCTCCTAGCACGTTGTATAGCATCGATCGCAGCACCGTAGGCAGCATGCTGTGCTCTGTAATACAACCAAATCATATTAACAAAACGATTTTCAAGTAATTTATTCAAGGCCTTGATTACAAAAATGTTTTGGTTTCAATTTCATAACGCTTCTACATAGAATTTAATTTGAAATGCGAACTTCATTACAATTACGCACTAACCTTTATTTTCTTCTTTCTTAGGTGGTGTCTGTTCGACATGCTCCTCTTCGAGTTCCTCGCTGCCGTCCTCCAAAGAATCGATCACCTCAAACTCGGAAACGCCGTAGACTTCAAACAGCGATATGGGACAATAATATTCTGTGCCGTAGTGCGATAAAATTTCCACCTGTGATAGTAATAGAAATAAAGTACATAGTAAAGAAAGCAATGTGAAAAGCAGGCAACAAATGGTGTTCACTGTTCAGAGTCATATCGTCCAAGTTTGTCAGAATTATGCAAGTACCAGCGAGTACCATAACAAGTTTTGATGAATTTGAAGGTAATACTTTCCGAGAAACCACATGATCTTCCGCCCATTCATCCTTTAATTGTGCACAAGTCTAGTGAGTCTATTATCGCTTATTTCGACGAGGCTAGTAGCTATAAAATAGTTTTTTTACGAAATTGGTACGGTATGGTTTAAAAAGCCAGTTTCCTTGTTATCTGTACTTATTCTTCTTGCTCAAGCTAGTAAACACGAAATGTGAGTTGTTGGTGGGAACGTAGCTAGAGTAGTCAGTTGATGGAGGCACGTGGCTCTGAATAAAGGACATGATATCTCACTTGTGATATGCAATCTTTAATCTTGTAAAGTAATTGCTACCAGATTTACGTTAGATATTAGTCCCAAAGTCCAATAAGCGAATCCTGAATCTGTGAGCGTAGACAAACCTGCAAATTATAAATCTATTTCAACTTGTGTCAATCTGTGCCAAATTGTATCAATCTTTGTCTACCAGCTCCTTGAATAAAGTTATTAAACTGGAACTTCTACAAGTGCCTTTTGACGATTTTTGAGTTATAGAGTTGCTATACAGTAAACGCAAGTAGTAGCGATCACTGTAGGTCTTTATGCGGAGCCTCGGCTGATGCGACAGCTCGCAGACAGGACAGAATAACATAACAGCCAAATTTTGACCAACCTTGATGTACTTGAAGAAGGGTTCAGTTGTGACTGGGAAGGCCTGGACCCCGCGGTTGGAGGGCTCGGCCACGTACTCCCCTAGCAGCGTCCAGTCACGGGAAGGGTAGCGCTGACTGCCATAAACTACCACGTCCTTCGGCAGGTTGCTGAACAGCTCAAAGTTTGCTATCTCGAACTGCACAGATATTATTATTAATTAATAATTTAAGAAATGTTTACATATCATACATAACGCTTTGATTTCCAACTACTTGAAAGTACCCAAATTAGTTACGGTTACGGATTGGTTACAGAAATCGATGTTCGCTAAAATTTTATTTTTGGTTTCAACGTCTTTCATTCGCTTCAAAGTGAGTGAAGCTTGGTTATTCACGGTATGAGTTAATATTTTCCAATTAGATAAAAATTAAATGACGTGTATCGACTGGAGGCGTGAGATCACTACTTATTATTGTTGAAATTGCAATACGAGTCAACACCATTAAAATCTGGACATCATAGATGCCCACTTAAATAATGGGACAGCAGAAGCATCGTGAAGCACCTACCCTGCTCGGTCGGATGCTCTCGCAGAGCTCAACAATGAACCAAGTTTTGCTCTTGCAGTCATTCAGGAGGTATTCATCTCGATCCCTTTTGATCACCTGCAATACATAAACAAAATAATAATAAAAATCTTCAAATGTACCCACCATCACAATAAAATTTTTAATTTTGGAAATTGATAGATCCACGTTTAATTTACAATTACGGAAAAGGTAAAACACAAAAACTAGCGTTCGACGGTACCTGTTCAGATGATTTCCAATAGAAGACAAAATGAGATGATACCAATTTCTCACTCAAGCTTGTTCGATTATACGAGACAACTTTGTGTACGTAAGTATAATCATGATTTGAAACATAAAAGCGAAAATAAAATACCAAAATCATAGGCAAGCAAAACCGAGAATCCAAGCTTAACAAAATTGAATACAATAGGCAGACAATACTCAGCATCACGAGTATAATCAAGTATTATCATAAGAAAGCTATAAAGCCATGTTAAGTTTGGACACCATTGATCAATTACTCGAGGTAATTAATATCATTAGTGACGAATAAGGCACTAACACTGCCGGCGTGCTGGGCCTCAGGGTTAGCAGCAAGCAGTTTGCTGCCGCAGTCCGGCGCCGCGTAATTCTTGCTGTACTTCTTGCCGGGGTTGACGCGCGGCACCTTAGGAGAGACGGCGCTGCCACCTGCACCAGTAGCGCTGCCGCTCTGCCCATTCCCTGCTACGACATCAAGCTTGGGTAAACATCTCATCAAATTAATCAAACTGGTTAACATAAACTGCGTGACGTTCCGATATAGTAATATTTTAAAGTGGCATAGGTCCATCCCTGTAATTGTTAAATCCCATTCCATGTATACCTATTCACCATTACAAATCACCAATTTTTGATATAAACAAATATGATTTGAATAAAATATTCTCAAGCCATTCTAGTTTCATATCATTTAGTTTATTAATTGAACACTATTTAATTCAATTACTTGAACATAATGATAGAGGGTGATAAACTCACCATCGTTCATCTGTTCCATAGCAACTCTCTCAGCAAACTGGCTGTAAGTTTCAATGGAGTCTTTCGGTTTTCCTTCCGTGGTTTTTTCTACATCGCTCTCCTCACTTGCATCGATGACCGTCCCTCCGTCTTGCAGAGACTTTTCGTCCTCTGTTAAGCTCTTAGATTCATTTGCATTCATTTCTACTTCATTATCATTTCTTGACAATCCATGAACTTCGGTAGATTCATTGCTTTCTTCGTTTTTCTGTTCAGAATTTGTGAGACTTTCATTCGACACTTTGCTAGCATTACTTTTAGTCTCGATTTCATCGATATTCGTATTGATAAAACGAACCTTGTCCTCGTGTGTTTGATTCCTTAGTAAATCATCAGAAATGTTTCCAAACATTGATCTGAAGCTCGGGAGGGGAGGAGCCTCTGAAACTGTCGAATTCACTTGAATGTTTCCCTCGATAATTTGATCGTTACTGGAGACTGACTCATTAGAAGAAGTTACGGTAGATTCAGTTATAATACCGGGATATTGTAAGTTTTCGTTCGCAATAGACTCAACATCAATTAATGAATCTTCGTTGAAATGAATCTGCCCTTCTTTACCAAATTTCTGGGTAACATCATCACGAATAGCATCGGCAATCACAGCACCATGACCGTGAACTTCAGTAACTTGTTCACTGCCATTCTTGACGATGATTTCAACTGCCTCATCTGCAGGCGAATCAGTTTTATGAAAGGAGAAATCTTTGAAAGAGTCGGAACCAATACGAATTCCGGGTTCTGAATCTGGACTATCACTTAGTATAGAGGTATCGCTTAGCTGCAGCTTCTCCTCAACCGGGGTTGTTAAAATAGAGATACTACCTGGGTGTTGAGTTTCGTACACGACATCATATTCATTTTTGGTATTTCGCTTTCCTACTAAAACATCCTCAGTTGCGTCACGACCAGAAATTACGGCGGGATCCGAACCGTCCGCAGAAATAATTAATGTATTTTCATACAAATCATTTTTAAAGGTTGGAGTAGCACTTATGCTCTTATGATTTCCTACAAGCTGTTCAATGTCATCTACAGCATTGCCTAATGATAACTTATCTATAATGCTTGACTCGATTTGAGCATTAGTAAGCCTAGCACCTTCATCTAGAAAAGTGTTTATTTCTCTACCATCTAAATTTCTCTCATCTTCTTCTCTGCTTTTGGCCCCAGCAACGTATGTCGTTTTTTCGTCTACAATGATTTTCGGCTTCCCATCGAAGCCTTTATCCTCGCTAGGATTTTGGACTTGATCATAACTTCCATGGCCATTAGGCTTAGTTTTGCCATAAGATGAATCTTTTGTTATCTCCACCGCAGGGAAAGAAGCCGTGTCTAGCGTCATCGTGCCGCCGTCCCACTGTTCTGTCTCAATAAAACTTCTGTTACCAAAGTCCTGTCCCGACCGGACAGAGTTTGCTGAACCATCTTCTGCGAACAGCGGGAAGAAGGAACTCGAGGATGGCATCCTCGGCGAGCGTGAAGTGAGGGCCGCATCGTCCAACAGGCGGGACACTTGAGCGATACTGCAGGATAAGTGAATTTTTATTAGATTGAAGTTGTGAGCACGTGTTGCTTCTGCTCAGAAAAGACAATGCTGCGTAATAAAGTCTAATTGTCATATTATGAATTTTAATATAAAATTTAGTTGTCATATTATAAATATTAACCAAAAACTCGTGTCGTCATATTCTTGGGAAAATTGTTCACAAAAAGTTTTCAAGACATAGAATATACGCAAGTATTGTTGTTTGCAGTATGCAATGAGTGTTGGTTCAAAAGTGGATTTTTAATATAGTTGGATTAAGTGGACTACTTTTCGAAGATTATACAACAGCCAAAACAATCACGGTTTCATAAGCGTATCCAAGTAAGGATCCAATTGAACTTCACAAGGCACAGCGCAAATAGACAGATGAGGTCGCCAAGCCCACCGTTTCGCAGACTGTTTGGTCAGTAACGCTGTAAAACACAGCGAGTCTAAAACACTCAGAAAAGAATTTGCATATGATGTTTGTGGCTCGCACTCAACACTTTGATGAGTCTATAGGGTTCAACCTCAATGGAAGCTTATTAAAAGTTACAGAATTGCTGTGAATTTACTAAATTATTTCAGCAACCAAAAATACTATTATGCACATTGAATTGAAGTTCAAAAATGACGCATAAAAGTTTTATAAACTGTAATTTTTTACGTGGGCAAGGTAGGGCATCGATTTACAGGCTGAAAGCCTCTTACAGAAGATTAGGTAAAATTTAAACGTGGAAAAGTGAAGCTTGGCAAAATGCAGTACGACAGAACATAGGGCTTCACCAGGTGCACGTGTGCCAAACGAACAGCCATTCAGAGAAATCATGCGCATGTCCAGTTCGATTTTAAGCATTAAATAGTAGCTCGACAGCTACGTAGAAGCCATATATGCAGATGCGGAAGCAACGAGGCAGCGAGTCTCGCTGAGAGTAACTGTGTTTGATTACGGATGTGAGACTAAATGTGCCTAGTAATTCGGGCACGAGTCTGATTTGAAAAATCGACGCCTAAAATTGACAACAATTAAAAGGGTTGATTTCCATATTATGGCTGCATTAAAAGAAATCAAATGCTATGAACTCTTTTGAATAATTTCTTAGCACATAATACATAATATGACAGCTCCCCCAACGTCTTCTTTATATTTTCCGAGTAAAAAATTTCAGCATTTTATAGATGCAGCGTGCAAGAAATGTACGAATCTTACATCCCTACGCAGACAAAAATTGATTCATATTTTATATCTAATGAAGGGAAACAAATATTGGATTTAACAAATTTGAAGATAAATCTCGACATCACATCTCATCGAAAATAGGTATAAACTAATCTGCTGATTACTTTTCACGGCACGTATATATGAAAAGAAATATATAATAAGCAGATAGTTAGGCCATAAGGCACAAGCATTCAAATCATAAATCCCAGCTTTTGCCAGATTAATTGCTTTTAGCATAAATAAAATGTTTGTAGTATCAATAGTGAAACTAAAAATCAAACTATTTAGTGGTAAGGACGACAAGGTTGATTACATGCTGCATCACCATAGCATATTTGTACGCAGGATTATCAAGACAAGGACATTCATTTGGAGCTTTTTCCCACTCGGTGCATGGCGTTGCAGGGAAGACCACACCGTTGGATAAGAAGCATCTAGAGACAATTATAATTTATAATAATTATATTATGTATAATTATATAATATATACTGATATAGCTATGGTATAAAATAAACATCATTTTATAGGCGATTAAAAGGCATAGAGGCTAGATAATCGAAGAATCTACACCTGGAAAGTATGTGACTAGTGGAATGAAACTTGGTAATTGAACGAACAGGGCACGGTATTTTCCAATTAATCCTATTAGTGGTAGTTTATGCAATCACGTATAGCGGTAGTTTATGCAATCTCACATAGCATGATAAGGTTGTATTGTGCAATTAAAACAACGTGCATATGTGAAAATTTCTAATGATATGAGAATGTATAAGTATAAAAATTTATAAAATATAATTGGTTGTGTCACGAGAACACGAAAAGCAGAACGTTTCAACAGAATACTTTTATTGAGTTATTAAAATAAGGTGCAAACATGTTGTCACTTCCTATAAAGCTTTTACATCAGTCGCGCTCAGCACATATGGATACGGTCTACGTAATATGACCAAATAGATCGTACAAGTGTGTGTCTCACTTGCGTCCAGCACGTGTGGCTTGCAATGTGCAGATATCTGAGTGACCAAAAAAATAAATTCGTATGCTGCATACCTGAGCGATTCTGTTGAAAACCCTTTACGCTGTCATCTTTCTGATGTGCATACTTTGCAAACAACGTATAGGTCACGCAACCTTGTAACAGACCAGTATCGAAATAAATGGCTGCGATATTTTCGAATGAGTGTAAACGAGAACTGCTCGATACGCACTTAAAGCAAATTTACGTCGTAGAGGTAACACGCACCGAGTCGTTGTGTAATCTTTACTATAGACACAATCATAGCTAAGAAGCATCAAAACAAGATAGCCAGGCTGTGAGTGAGGCCGGCGGTGGGTTTGGCAGAGCGCGGCGTTACAGGATCGAGCCAATTAAACGTTCCGTGATCACAATATGAGAATAAAAGATTAAAACAGATAACCAGCACAACTTTCAATTCAGCTGGCAACAGGCTCTGCAATACATAGTTCGCTATTCGACAATCCTAGAAAATTAAACATTCTTGAGAAAATGAGCTTTGCAATACATAGTTCGTTCTAAAGAATTGATGTCACTTATTTGCTTAAATCGCATATTAACCAAAAATTTAAAAGCAAGGATTAAACCACAAATGTTCATATCTTTATGGAAAACGTTTCGGAGTCCAGCTCCATCGTCAGTTCGTAGAATCTATAATTTACATAGAAAGTCACAAATTAGTACAATTGAAAGCACAAAAATATGTTTAAAAATTAGAAAGGTGTCATCGACGTATCTGTTATAGAATATTGGCTTAAAATCAGGAGGACAATTGGCCAGCCAAGAAACCTCGTGAAAACACAGTTCGTTATTCGATAATGTTGGAATATTCGACTGAGTTGAGAAAATCTGCATACCGCCATTGATCGATGACTGAGTGAATAACTAATGAATTCATTGATGATGAGATTGGCTGGTAATCACATTCAGCTGATCAGGGATAAGCAAGACCTATGAATTAAATGCTACCAGAATATTTTCAATGGAAACCAATAATGAAATTCTCATTCAAATGATTCTACTGAATATTAACATGTTTCAGGTAATACATTAGACTTAAATACTCGCGCCAAAACATTTCGTAGCTCAGGGGACAAGTGTACAAAATTCATGACGGTTTCACAAAATTTTTCAGCCAATATTCGTCGAATTTAATCCGTAAAAGTTAAGCATCGTAGATATGCGAACTCATCTCACATGGCTTTTACAATCAACAACGCCGGAACCCGGAATGAATTACGCAAGAAGACGTGCAAATTTGAAGTAAGGACAATAAACCGTATATAAGGTTTATAACACCCCAACATGATCGAGTCGTTTCCAGAGACTATAGTATTGAGCCAAACATTAATTTCAAAAGAGTACTATACATGAATACAACAATCAAAACGGAACAAACGTACAAATTTTACGATAAAAAAAGTAGTAACGTAATTTATGTTTTCAGAACCGTATCGCAAAAGGAAACCAGTCAAACTAATACGATGAAAAAATGATGCCTTGAAGTATCTTATTGCACGAGTATAATCAATGCGCATGAGTATAACGAAATCAATTTTTATAAAAAATGACAAAATGTCACGAGCATGTGTGGGCATCGCGAAGCCATATCGTGGCGCCACATGCCCGCTAACTGCGTCCAGTGTACACAGGTGTCGCCACAGCTGCACTGCCGCTGCATGTGTTGAGTGTCGCAACAACTCACGTGACGGATTTTCCCGTCACGATCTCCTTATTTTGCAGCTGTGATTTACGTTAGAATGCAAAGGATGCAATGCGGTCGAAATTTCTAGTGCACTTTCAAATATTAGCAGGTACATATTAAAATTTTCAATACAAATAATTTATTTAATCTTAAATAAATAAATTTTTGTGCTTTTCCGGTGTTATTTGAGCTATCAACGAGTGAAAGTTGCCGTGATTCTGCCACTTTAAAATAAACGTACAACATAATTTATTTAGAGTGCTAAAATCAAATAGGATAGATAGCAGTTAATAACACTAGGAGCAAATCAGTACGGAAAAATATTTCGAGCGACAAAGCACAACGAGACTGAACTGAGTTGATGTCCAATAAGAGAGATATAAATGCAGTAAGAAGTTAAGAATTTTTGTTATCTAAGACAGGTTGTGGCGCTGGCGCAAACCAAGACAAACCAGATGCGTCCTCAGTCAAAGAACTAACAAAAAGTCATATTTTTAAAGACACACTCTTGTGTCATAAAAATTACTATTAAGTCAATAACAACCAATATATGGGAAATTAATAGGTCTCTCAATACAACTCGTATTAACAAAATCACGAATGATTAGTAGACACACACCACCAAAGTTGAATACAATAAATGCCAACAAATTCGAGTTTAATGGAGCGAACCAACAAAAAAATCAGTAGAGCTTGACTGACATGGCCGAATCGGTCGTCAGGGCCGATAACTTTTCGGAGGACAAAAATTCCCCCACAGAAAGTGCGCGAGAATTGGCAGAGCGCTGCGTGCAACAGGCTTTGATCACCTGATAAAGCAATTACATAAAAAATAGACCCGTCAAATGCGGTGCAGAAATTGTGAAATATGAACTGGAAAACAGAAAAAAACGACCGCTGAGCAAAAAAGCTAGAATTTAGAGTAGAATTGCATGATCGTGAATTTTAGAGTAGAATTGCAGAGAAGAATGCACATGAACTGCATTCTTGCAGAAGAGAATGCAGACAACGCCGAGGAGACGTCACGTGCTTGGTGTAAGACTTAAATCAACGAA